TGCAGGGAGAGAAGACTTATGTCTTTTCCCCACCTCTGCCTGTGGCTAGAATGCAAAGAAAGTCATTCCTTTTGGCATTTTAGTTGCCACTCTGAAGAGAGAATGCAATTTAGATTCTGCTTGTGCTTAGGAGTAAAAACATATGCCTCCCTTCCTTGCTTGTCAGAATAATTTTTTGTTGCTATTGTTCAACAATTGGAATGAAAATCTTTGCCAGTCTATTTTTATTTTCAAAGTAACATCTCATCTTATTTTCAGACTGGTCACAAATGAAATAAACTTCAGCAATATATAAAAACCTATATGACATTCTCCATTCCTAGTGAGCACAATCATGAAACTGCTTACCACAGTAGATCAATAACAATCCCAACTTATAGAGAGAATAATCAAAACTAGGGGCACATTAAAAAAAGACAAAACAGGAAGACATTCAGCCAAAAGACTTTTTAATATAACCATGTTTCTGCCAGTCGCTGAAAACAACACAGTGGGGCCTGACGATCCTCAGTTGGCAGGACATTCCATAGGGTAGGTGCCACTACGGAAAATGCCCTATGGCCTGTGGTTGCGTGCCATGCTTTAGAGGGTTCAGGGGTCCTCTGCAGCCCATGCAAAGATCGAGCAGTATATTCAGATTTACCATCTGCTCCCTCCGGTCTGGATTCCTGTGTACAGAATCTTGAAGTGTGTCCTGTGTTGCGTAAATTGGAGAAATCAGGGACATTTTGCATGTTGAGTAGCACTTGCCTGGGCATCTCTCTCAGCCATTCCAAAAGTGTTGAAAGCGCACCAAGAGAACGACTCACCAACTTGGCAGGACCCTAGTCCTTGGAAGGCCTGTCATGGAGGAGACAGTGCCCATCATTGTGCTCTCCTTCTGCAATGTTTGCAAGTGAGTAAAATAGGCCTGAATGACTGACTCACTTCAGGGGTACATTTATGTTTACATTTGCCATGCACGATTTTGCATATTTTCTTTGGAGGCCGAAGTTCAGTCACCATGAAAGTAACAACTTCTCTTTTTATACTGTTTTCTTTCAAGGCATAGTCTCAATTCTGTTTTTCTCCAGCCATCTATGCTAGGATGGCTTTTCCCCCAGATTTCAATCTCAGCTTTCTTTTTCATTAATCCTTCTCTGATATTTTAGCAATTCCATCTTTCAAACATAAAGCTTGTGGGAGTTTCTGTAGAAGCAATGTATACCACACTTTTCTGTATATGTTTTAGTTTTGCATTCCATTTCCCAAAACTTCTGTATATGCTGAGTAATTATTATAACCCTAGCAATGAAATTATAGAAGATTTAAAAACAGCATAGAGGAACCTATCAGAAAAATTCAACATGTTGCAGATTTATTCTTGTTCCCTACCTGCCCGCCCTGTCTGAGATGATGCCTTTTGGCAAAGAGCAGAGAACTATGCCTAGCTTTTATTTTTGGATAAACACGGAGAGGGACCATAGCTCAGTGGTTGAGCCCCTGCTCGGCATGCAGGGGATCCCAGTTTCACGTTTAGCATCTCCAGCTACACCTCCCTGGAGAGCCACTGCTAGTCAGTGTTGACAGTATTAGGTTAGGTGGAGCAAGGGGCCTACTCAGTCTCAGACAGATTCTTAGGGTCTTATATACCTTTCAAGGCAAGTGACACAACGAAGGGCCACAGTACTTAATACCTGGAAGTTGGGGATCCCACCACCTGAGACACGCAGTTCTAGTTTAAACAGGGAGCTCGTGGTTGGATCGGAATAGTGGCTCGTTCTTGCGGGTGCAGCTTTTGCAGCTGTGTATATACGTACGTGTGCACACACAGCTTGTTTGTTCCACCCGAGCGGGGGAAGTACAAGTACAAGTAGCTGCATTTTTCTCCAGCAGGGAGATGCAAGCAGCTTCCAAATCACATGTAGTTTGGCCCAAAAGGCTAGCTTTCTCTGTGGCAGTAAATCATCTTTGGGACTGAGTTACTTGAGGCTGCAGATTGGGACTTCTTACAACCAAATACTCTTCCATATATCAAAGTATTTCCCGCACATAGAAGTAAACAAGTATGTCTGGGAATGGGCTAAGTTTCTCCCTGGTATGTCACTATTCTCTCCAGAATGATTTGTTTTTAAAGAGGAGTATTTGCTCCTGTGAACCTGCTGTCCTAAACAGGTTTGCTACCTCAGTGAGAGCTAGGCCTCAAATGTTACATCAAGTCAGAAGTATTTCAGATTTTATTAAGTTTGAATTTTTGCAGAGATCTTGCAGAGAGTTTTTGGCTAAAGGCAGCTTTCCCCCTCCAGAACATATTCTTTTAAAGCCCTCCTACCTCTCTCTGGACAATATCCATCATAAAAATATGAGATCAGTGTCTGTGAGAGTTGACTGATATCCAAGGACTGTAATCATTTTTTGCCAGTTTTACCTCAATTTCTTCATTTTACTCTGAAGTGGTAGTTTATTGCTTTAAAAATGTCCAAGTAGACACTTAAACATTCAATGTTATTTTTAAAGCATGGAGCTAAAATTACTTCACGAAGCATTCAAAATGAGCACTAGCAGTTAGTTTTTAATTTCAAAGAACTTATCTAACTGTGAAGTTTTGCAGTGTGCTTGCATACCTGCTTTTAGAGAATATATCTTAAAGGGGACTTTTCTAAGTCACACTACTTAATTTAAAACCACTATGCAGTCACTAGAATTAGAGTATATTGTTTGTTTTAAATAGACAGCAAATGTTTTGGTTTAGATGGAATATAAATGGAACCCAACCATTTTTTCAGCAAGGTTTTATTGTATTTAGGGCAAAAGGTTATGCAGATTTACCTAGAAAAACAGTCTGCAAAAGTAGCACTATACCTAGCATTTATACTGTACTTTCATAGGTGTGTTTAAAATGAAAATTGCATCTGCCTTTAAAATTTGGGATGGGGACAAGTCTTGCAGTGGCCTAGGCATTCAAGTTATTTGAAATCAGAGTTTAACTTTCTTCTCCATGGACTCTGTGCATTATGCATATGGACTTTGTGCCTGTGCAGATCCTATTTTCGAGAAGCTTCCATAGCTAAGCTGTCATTTGGGCAGGAGCCCCTCCTCTTCCTGTTCCCATCCATCCCTTCAGTTCCTTTTTGACTGCCTAGATCAGGGATTGCTTCTCTCTCTTCCACCTAATTACGTAGTGTTCTTTTTTCTAATTTTCTCCACTTTTGCCTAAATTAAACCTCTCTCCACTCCTCTCTTCGACATCAGCCAGTTCAAAATGGTTGCATTGCAGGACATCCTTGCAGCATCTTAGTAGACACCCTCAGCCATGCAACCCCCAACTCATGAGCGGCAGTTGAACAAGACGGTCCCCCGTGATAGGTGGGGGATGCCATCCGTGCATCTCTTCATCACAGCCCACAGAACAGGTCCCTGGTTCTGTTTCCAAGCAAGAATGGTGAGTGGATCCCTGGGAGATGCCTTTATCCTCCGGTGGAGTGGGACCCTGTTCCACATTTTTCCTTAATTCCCCCTGATCACCAGGGTGATTGCCAAAATCAGGAGGAATGGGACTGTCCAGCTCTCCCAGAGGGACTTCATCTGCCTCCCACACTGCCAGGTCTTCATCCCACAGGACCAGGGCCAAGTTCTTCACCCAGACCCAGCCTTCCGGCCCAAGGTCACCTCACCATTCCATCTCAGCCAAGACATTGTCCTTCCCACCTTCTTCATGGCTCCATCCACTCCAGTAGAATCTACCCTGCACCCTGGAGACCCTCACCTTCTACAGATCCAGAACCGAGCTATTATATTTGTCTGCTACAGTTGCCAGAAAAAAAGGAGACCCTCTCTCTTCTCAGAGACTGTCCATTTGAGTCTCTGGCACCATCTGTCTCACATATGGGATGGCAGCTCTTTACCTCACCACATGACCCAGGGCTCCCTCCACATCTGCAGAGTGGCCAGGTGGTCTACACCCATGATGTTTGTCCAGCACTATTGATCCGACGTCCACTGTCATCCTGCAGTGATAACAGCATCCTCCACAGAGTAAGCTAGCTAGTTGCCCAAATGTTTGATGCACAGAGAGCACAGAGAAGAAAGGCAGGTTGCTTACCTGCAACTGTTGTTCTTTTGAGTGGTCACCTGTGCATTCACAGAGCTCAGTCTCCAGCTCCACTTGCTGTTGTCCTTTTTAATGGTTGCCTCCTTACTCTCCATGGATGCCTGGGGTCGGACCAGGTTAGGGTCCCGTCTCCTGGGAATAGGAGGGGGAGGGCTTTCACCCACACAACACTTACCTATAGAAGCTTCCAACAGTAAGATCTGCACAGGCACAAAGCCCATATGTGTTAATACAGAGATCACCACTCACGAACAACCTGCCTTGCTTTCTCCTCTCTTCCCTTCCTTTCTTTGATAAGTAATGAGCATTTATATGAGGCACGTTTCATACACAAACCCTTTCACTTACATTTTTACTTAAAGCCTTAACATTATTAATAAAAATCATGTTTGCTCATCTTCCAGGCTAGGGCTAAGGGTTGCCTGCCAGGAAGCCCTTGTCTGGGAGCGGCTGAGTCCATGGAGGCCCCTTCTTGAGTCCTGTCAGCAGCCTGGGGAGGAGCTGCATTGCAGCAGCTTCCACACATACCAGGATAACATAAGCAGGGGAGCTGGGCTCGATCCATTCTTTGCCACCAGTGACTTGCCCCTCTTTGGAAGAAACATGATTTCCATAGCTTCTTCCAGTCAACTTGAGTCAAAGGAGGAATCAAAGGTCTCCCTGATAAAATGCAGTTAGCAACACCCCCCCCCCCCCCCCCCACCCCAGAAGTAGAGGCACTTGTTGAAATCTCTCTGGAGCTGTCATGCTGAAAGGCAAATCTGAACGGGCACCACTGGGAAATGGAGTGTTTGTTGTAGGAATGAAGCAATTCTTGTACAAGAGATCCTTCTTTCAGGAAATGATTTTATTTGTTGTATTTATTAGTTTTGAAGTTCTTATAATTAGGTTTTGTTTTGGTTTCTTTCAGGAATGATGGTGGTGATCGTATTGCTCCTGATTGCCATCGTTGTCGTTTCCGTGTGGCCAACAAAGTAACCAGTGGAGATACATTTTGCAGCAAACATGTTAATTCCAACTGGAGGCAAAGACAATTCTGTCTCAGTACTGGCACATTCTGTGGACTCTATTGCATCCATCTGTGAAGGGATTTAATTTTGCAAAAAATCTCTCTCCAGTAAGATTTTTCAAGAATATAACTGGAAGAAAATGGATCGCTTACTGAAGTTCAAGGGATAAATACAATTAATTCCAAAGACATTATCTCTCCCTGCTGGCTAACTGCTTTTGCCTCCGAAAGGCTGGATCTATTGTTAACCTCTAGAGTGACTGGTTAAAATATTATTCTTTTTTCTGACATGGTTCCTTGAAGCTAAAATTTATACATTTCCTTCTGGATGTCATAGTAATGAATTTTGCAGTAATTCAGGGCAAGCTCTGATCCAAGGGTTGAACTACAGTTGCATTGCAGTGGCATTTGCTGGCATCTTTCAAGTAGAGAAATCCCAGAAAATCTTTAACATGAGACAGGAGACAGAAGCAAATGGGCTGGGAAAAGCAGGCAGAATTTCTGCCCCATAATGTAGCATCTGACATCCATGCTATGCTGTGTGCCATTCTTCCTATATACTAATACTGAGGAAGGGAAATGATCACTCTACATGACTTAAAGTTGCAAAATTTGTCTTTTCTTTATGTTCTGAAAAGAGTTGAGAAAGTTTGCAATAGAAAAGAAATAACTTTCATCTCCAAAAATTATTTTGCTACATCCATACAAACTTAACTAGTAGCGTAATAACAAGACTGAATAAAAGCCACTTCATTTCTATAATACTGTTTTGGGGTATATTGTTATTTCCTTCCCAACATATATGCATTTATTTGCCTAGGAAACTATAAGCACAATAAAATAACACTACCACCAATTAGGCTGCTGAGCTGGAGAGATACCTGGTGGCATGTGCTTGAATAGATGTGGAAGAACTGTGTGCTCGGCTCTGTTCTGCTACACAGAATCACTTCTTAGCTTAGAATTTGGTTGGTGGTTCTTGGGAGTTTTCTAGTTAAAAGTGCAAAGAAAGACCGTAGCTCCAGCAAGCATGAAATTTGCCCATCCCAGCTTGCAGGCTGCATCTCATACTGGACTGAATGCTGAAACTAATCCTGTGTTTGAGAATGGCTGGGATAATGCAAAGGTGACAGATCCTAGATCAGATCAAGTTATTTTCTGTGTAATCCACTGGGTGCATATGTAGCCACAAGGGTAATCTTGCTCAGCTTTCCCTAGATCTAAACTATTCTAGAATATTCCATCTCTTCTGGAACAAGCAGCAGAGAGGGAATGGTTGAGTCACTGATATTATAAAAAGCTGTTTTCTCTGTTGCCAGAGCTGCCCACCAGAAGGATGTTGCCTTTCAATAGCTAAACCAAGGAAGGCGGACAAGTGCTATCATACAACATAATGCTGTCATCACATGAACTAGTCCTGGATGTACATCAGTGTTGTGATACTAATTAGAGCAGGCCATCGGGCTCTTGTGCAGAACAGTAAACAAAACCGCTGGGTTACTCGGGCAGTTTCATCTCTGCTGGAAAGTAACAGAACGACATTTCCACCACGAAAGGTCATCAGGAGCTCTATTCACAGATTCGCATCCTCTTTGAAGTGGGGGCAGATGGAAACTGTTTCACGATATGGCTCATTTATTTTTTTCTGTCAGGAGAGATTCAGGAACAGGATCTTTGCATATTATAGGGTTGCTAAGGTGCCCTATATTTGGCTAGCTTAGAGGGGGAAAAACAAGTCGGGTTAGCAAGTCTTCAGTATCCTGATATTCCTAATTTAGGAGGTAACTGAGGCACATATTGAACCTGTTAATGTGAGTTCAAATTGTTACCAGTGAAACTGCCATGCCAATAACCTCAGTAGCCTCTAATTAAAACCGAATGCCAAGTGCATACATATTTTTTGTTTGACTTTCTTTTAAGCTTCAGTTAAAATAAATTATGCTTCTTTTCCAAGAGATGTAAACCTTTGTGGCAGAGAAAATGTCAAACCCTTTCCCCCAGTGGTTGAAAAGAATTAGTGGATCTAATGGCTGGATAATAGCATGATTATATTGTAAAATTCTTGTATAAACTAGATAATACAAACTAGATTATACATTTATATAGGGTTACTGAAATTACACACGTGAAAGTTTCAGAACTCCAAAGAACTTTGCAGATATTCTCCTCCTAGTCCTTGCAACAACTCTGTGAGGTGGTCACTGTTCTTGTCTTTAAATTGCAGATCTCAGACTAAGAGACAGAAACTGGAATTAAAGACTTTCTCCCTCTTAACTTCCATTCTTACTTTCAATGCTACAGCAGTGCCCAAATAACACAGATATATGTGAGTGAACAGTGAGTGTGGATGTGCAATGCTGCGAATTGTGTTGGTTTTGAGTCTGCAGTGAGTCTGTCCTGGTAAACTGTGGTGGACCATAGGATTTTTTCTAATTCTAGAAATGGTTTGTGCAATTTTTCAAACTGTGCCATTTGAACTACACAAATAGGTTCTTCCTTTGTCTTCCTATTATCCCCCCCCCCCCGTTCTTTGTAACTGCATGGAAATAAGCCTATATGCAGTCTTGTCATGTCAGTTTTCTTATATGTTACCTACCCCACTTCAGTACTCTTGTTGACAGATGAAGCATACCAGGAAAATGACAGCGCTAGACTCCATATTTTGAAAAAGCCGCAAAAGCTGCCAAAGGCCTGGGCAGTTTTTAAAGTAATTTGCACACATTGCAAGATTCACATAAAAATTCAATTGGTACAAATTGTTACTATCACAAAAGTCACAGAATCTGTGTATTGGATCAACAGATTGAGTCAATGCTAGTAGGGAGAAATGGAAGGAAATACATCAGAACCAAAACAGAAAAACCCATCAGAAAAGTTTCTACCCCACAAATTAATTCCTCATACATTCCTGGTAGTAACAGATGTGGATTCATAGGGCCTTGCCAATATGAATAGAATTCTTCCTAAGTTTCACTGATGGGACGGAAGGAAAAGGGGCAAAAAATAAGTGGAGCTTTTTTCCTGAATTGAGATCCATTCAGCCATACCTGTTTCTGAGGCCTTGTCACTGGCTGATCTGCAGCGTTGTTTAAATACAGGTGATCCAGGGCAAAGGGAGTTTGTCCACTGATGTTGTTGCCTCTGGTGGCTTTTGGTGTGGTCGACACGAACATTTGAGGCTTCTTTTCTCATTTGATGCAAGAGTTCAACACTGTCAGGGAGTTTTACCTTTTGACTAAGAAGCTCTTTTTGGGAGGAAAAGTGTACTTAGTGTTACTCTGTAGCAAAGGGCCACGCTATAATAAACTCTGGCTCAAATTAAGTGTGGGAACTGTTTCTAGAAAAGTGTTTTCTGCAGTATTGCAGCAGTTGCCACTCGTTGTTACTGGAAGATTAGTGGTGCTTCTAATTATCCCAGGGGAAACCCTATTATGAGAACAGAACATATTAATCTGTGACTATGAGTAATGACTTCTGTCTTCCCAAACTTAAATAGTTGGGTATACCCTGTGCCCCCTTCCTCAGCTCAATGATATATGAAACATTTTTCCCCCAGAAGGATATGTGCACTGAAAGAGGAGGAGGAACGTATAAATCCCATTGGAACGGTGCATGCCGATCTGTCAGAAGGGCATGGATGCTGCAGTTAGCTTAGGAGCAGCATTCACCAGAGCTTGGGTGGATGATGTGCTTGCTGGATTTCCCACTTCTAATCTAATTAAGGTTTTCCATGTCGCCTCTCCCAAGCTTGGATGAAACAATTGCAGATAAATAGTCGCCTAGTTATTTTCAGTGGGAAAGCCTATATTCTTCTGGAACTCAGAAGGATTACTTTTTTCATCCTCATGCAACAGAAGAGGCCAGCATAAGATGAATAGAACTTTTCAAGAGTTTATTTGACAGATGTCTGGATTTAGTCCTATCAAGTGGATTCTGCAGTTACATGCTCCTTCTGGTTCAGTTATCAGTCCATCTAACAGATAAAAGGAAATGGAGGGAGGGGGAATAAGAAAATCCACAACTTTTTTCCCACTTGTCATTAAATATATTCATATATATAACCATAATATATTAGTATGCATTGAAACAAAACATTGCCCCCAAACTATATGCAATGGTCATAACTAAGCAACATTTACAATTCGTGATATTAACAGGAATAATCTGAACACAGGGTCTTCACCCCTCTGTGTAACAGTGGAAAAGGTGGAGGTGATCAAGGGAATGAACATACAATGGTCCGGCTAAAGCAGACAAGGTCGGGAGGAAGCCATTGTTCAGCACAATTTTGGGGTGGCAATTGTTTTGGCGTTTCAGCTGCTTCTCACAATGGTTTGTGCTGCCCTTTTACCCTGTTCATATGGAGCCTGGAATGTTTCTTCAGAGGACCTAAGCATTTTGCATAGCATAGTCTTGACAACCCACTGCTGCACGACACCTAGAACAGGTGCAAGTACCAGTTTGTTGCTTCAGATTCATTCATGGATTGTATTGGATGGTGGTGCTTTCACCTCTGGAAAAACAAGATTACCTTAGATTTCGAGGGTGCAGCATGCTAAATGCTTTTATGGAAATTCAGAGACCTGTGTAACTTGCCACCCTGCTATCAAACCCAAAATCATTCCAAACAGCTCTTGCCTAGTTCTAAGTTCATAAACTTTGGCTGGGAGATCAGCAGGTAAGGCTTATTAATGTCCTCCCTTATGTAAGATTGCCTAACTATTGGCCCCCAAATAAAAAGGCCAATCATAAAAGCCTGGCATGATCGTAGCAGTCTGCTACCTCCTATGCATATTAATAGTGCAGCAGGATGTTAAGCTCTACCAATAAATAGCCCAAAGTATGTAAAAGACTTGTTGGCCTATTTCTCTTACAGAGAAATGGGAAGGGTTGTAGGAAAAAGGCAGTCCCCCAAACATGTAACTATTTTCTTCTTTTCAAGCTGAAATTATGTTGGGGATGCTTAATGCAATGCACCAGGGAGCTTTATTTTGTGTGTGTGGAAAGTGCATAACAGCCCTGGTAGGAGCAAGCGCATGTCCCTAGACAGCATCTGAAGGCCACAGGAAAGCTTCAGGTTTCCAGGTCCGTGATTGGAGACTGTGCTCTGACCTGGAAAGGGAATTCTTCCCCCATGCAGCCGGTGCCAGGGATGTCCTTGGGGAAGAGGAAAAGGGGTGGAGTTTGTTGGGGGAGGAGGCTGGAGATGCCTTTCCCATTTCTTTCCCTCCCCCTCTGAAATGCTTTTGCTAGACGGGCAAAAAAGTCTGTCTAGTGAACAGACTGGGCAAGATGGTGAGGCGATGGTTGCTTCAACCACTCCTGCTGCCCTGCATAGAGTGATTTTGCGCCTCCCATCCAGGGCACAATGTGTAGGACTGCACCCTGTGCCCGCTGAGACATTTTTTTCTTAGTAGTTTAGGAAAGATGAAGAATGCTTAATCTAGAACATTATCTTTTCAGTTAATAGACAATTTCTCAGCTCTAGTTTTTATATTTTGTACTAGTTCTATCATCAGTTTTCTTGGTTTTCTCTGTAGTTCCTTGTCCCTTTGCTATCTGGTGTCCCCATCTCTATTCACAGCATTTCTGAATATCAGTGACCAAAATGGAAGGTGAGGCCATTTTCCAGCTGTCCTCAATGTTGGGAGTGGGGGAACAGAGCCAAGAGTATCTGTTTCTGGACTCTGCTTTGTGTGATTACATAGTGGTTATCCATACTTATTCCAAACGTAGAATCGCCTCCCAAATGCTCACATGGGACTGCAGTTGTAAGTGCTCTTAGGTACGAGAAGGATGCTGGACTTTGCGAGCAAAAGTCCTCTCAAGAGACAGCACCAGGATGTAGAATATGCTCTTGTAGTCAGGGAGTTCTATACTGGGAACCCAGCATAAAGAGGCTTGTGTTGAAGATAGTGCACAGTTGGGACTCGCTGGATGTTCATGTTTTATGTTTATGAACTTTGCATATTCAAGGGAAGACCTTTTGTCAGACTGGGAAGTACATGTGACAATCAGAAGTACTCGTAGCTCTTGGCTTTCTGTCCAAGTCCTGGGCACTGATGAGAACTCAGACAGAACAATGTGGAACACTGCCAAAGTTGGCTAAGGGTCCAGGGCAGTCCCTGATCTAGCCCATGCAACTCAGAAAAGCTTCTGAGCCTTGAGTGCAAGCAATGCTAGCGATCCCAAACTTCGCTAAGAGTTACACAGGTTCCTTTTACATTTTCTCTGTAAGCCAGACTTCCCCGCCTGCTGCCTTCCAGTTGTTTTGGACTCCTACTCCCATCAGCCCCCGCCAGCATGGCCAAGAGTCAGGAAAGCTGGGAATTGCAGTCTGAAGGCATCCCTCTTCTCTGGTCGGCCTAAGCTGGAGAAGGCTACTGGAAGCCCTCTACCACAGACACTATAGCGGGTCTGCTCAGGTGCTGTGAACTACCAAACAACTCCATGGAAGCGTCTAAAAAATCAGAATTTTGGGACTTTTGCACAGCTTTGAGCTGGACTTAGTGCCTAGTCTTAGAGCCTAAGAGCTCTGTGAAGTAAGCGCTGCAAGGGAAGTAGTTCCGTCATCACTGTTCAATTTGCTGAGAACAGCTTAGAATCAATCCCCTGAACTCTGGCTAGATGTGCAGCAACAGGGCATAAAGTGCTCAGCTGTGGGGTTAATGTCTCGCCTACTTTCCCTTCAGGCACCTCCACTGCAGTATGGATGCTGGTGATTAAATTCTGTGGGTGCATGTTGCTCCTCTTTTCTGAAGCCTAGTCTGAACCACCACCATGATAGACGAAGAATGCTATGGCACCAAATGCAGAGCAAAGCAAAATGAAGCCAGCTTTAGGTGCTCAAGAGTCCATTAAGATGCAGCCACCATTCTTGGAAGCCCACATTACCGTCTGGGAACAGCACCTGTGTTTAATGCCGTTCTGTGCCTCACACTTGGACCCCTCTATCACGAGAATCACTTTAAAGGGCACCTAGTCTTACCATCTGTAATGACAGGCTCTGTAAGAGTGTTTCACAGTTAGGCCTGAATGCAAGACTTGTGCACTTGGTTGCCTTTTCTGATGAAATGGCACATTGGCCACCTGACTTTCCAGTCAGCTCTTTAGTCCACCTTCTTTGGAACTGCACTGAGCACTTCCTGTTGTCCTCCTGTGGGAGGTTTTACGTATCTGCACAGTAATGGTATCCAGCCTCCTTAACCTGCTGCTAAGATAAGTCTGGTAGCTTTGGAGGGCACCTTTGAGCACAAACTGCAGTGGTTTTCAGACCATATTCCTAGTAGAGATGCATGAAAATTTAGTTGGGTTCACATTTTGATGCAAACTTACCTAACCCACGCTATCTGGGCTTCTATCCAACCGGAACATAGTTGTATTCTGAAGTCCACCAAACCCTATTTCCAAATAGGGTTTTCATTTAAAGAATATGCACAAATAAGGGCATATTTGGAGAAAATGTGCACAAGATCACTGCATACTATGCCAGGAAAATAAGTGCAGTTTACAAAGTGTATATAAAATGTGTAAATTAAGAGAAATGTACACAAAACAGACACTTTCATGTTGACTTTTTAAAAACAAAATTAGTGGAAATGGGATGCAATGAACTCAACAGTGATAAGTAACTGGACAACCTGAACAGAAGAGAACTTTGACAGATCTGTCCGTGTTGTATTCGTAGGAAACATTAGGGTTGCTTGGAAAGTTATCAGAAGATCTTTGATGAACAGCTCAGTGGCACTGGCTAATCTTTCCCTGTCATGCACAGCTGGAGTGGAATGTGGGGTATGTCCTAGTGAGCTCAACAAGCACAGATGACATCCCAAAAAGACTCAGTGCACCCTGAAAGCTCCCTCTTATGCAGGAGCTCCTCAGCAAACATATCGACACAGTTTTAAAAAACTCAAAAGATATGACATCTGGATGCCCTGATGAACAGGATGCAACCACTCGAGACTTTGGCGTGGTCTATGCATGTGGCAGGAGGTGGCAGAATCATCAAGTCGTAAGACTGCAGCTTGTGTGGGGGGGGGGCAGGGGGCCTTTGTCAATATTGCTCAACATGCAAAGCTCTTTGCAAGGCGACCCAGGAGAAGTTGAAGCCCTCTGCCTGTGCTGATTTTGTCCTTTCAGAGAAGATGTTGTGGAGTGGAGCCCTCAAAGACAGAAGCCCCGCATCTGCTGTCTGAATTGGTACCATGCACTGTACCACATGGCATGGGTATATCATGGCACCACGTGGCTGAAACAGGACTGAGATGTGCACACGCCATTCCGATCAGAATTCTGTTTCCATTTCTTTGTGACCCCAGCTCTCTCTGCCTTTTCCCTGTTAGAGAAATTCTTCCCTTGGGGTCCAAAATGAGAACTGACACAGACCGTGTTGCTAAATGCACCTCATCTGGGACCACGCTCTCCTGCTGGAGCTAAGATTCTACAAGGCGTGGGAGCACTGCAGCTCTCAAGTGTGTGCCGAGCAGATGAATCAGGGCACTCCCCCCTCTCCCCGCCAGCCCGGGCTCCCGACTCCTGTTCCTGCACTCCGTTTTGCCAGCATCTGGCCACTTTACACCTATTTGTGCTGCAGTTTGTTTTATGGTAGTTTATGTCATTATATAAATATTGTCGATTCCTATAAAACAAGGCAAAACCACTGGAAAATGTCATTAAAAGGCTGTTTCCAAGTTTCCTAATAGGAAACATCTCGGGGAAGTTTGTATTTTTCAGGGCAGGAGTCCCTGAGCTCACGCGTGAACTGCCTGCCCAGACAGTGAGTGCTTCTTATTTGCTAGTTAGAGGCAGAAGGAGATTTGCATGAGCAAAAACAAAATTCTCCTTCACCTCTGATGAACTTAAAATGAAAGTGAAAATCCACCAGCCAGTTTTAAAAGAGCTCTTGGATGGGCCATTTGAAGAACGGCTCTCCAGCATTATCAGTAGGCTACCAGTCCCCAAACTCTCTATACAATCAAAGCTACAGCAGATGCTTACAAACAGAGACGTTTCTGGGAAGCTTGGAATCTGACTGCTCCATATGCACACTGGCAAGGCTTCTGTTCTGGGATCTTTCTTCTTTTCTTCCCTGCAGCAGATAAGGGCCAAATCTTGCTCCATTCAGTCACTGCAAACGGAATTAACACACAGGTCCATCTCTCAAGTCCTTGGTTTCCTCCTTGGTAATGGAGGAAAATGGTGTAGGCTGTCTACTGAGATATTAATAAGGGTGGTATTCCACTTGATCTCCCCTTTCAAGGCTAGCTCACGGACTCTGTATCGCTGTTTCAGAAGAAAAGTTGGAACGTGAACCATGCAATATAACACTTGCATTGTGCAAATTGAGATGAACCTAGGTCCAGATGCTGTTTGTCGTTTAGTTAACATCTTGGCAAATGCAGACAAGAAAAGAAGTCCAAGTGGTCTCAGAGAGGGACCACATTCTCAAAGACCGCATTGTGAGGAGTCTTCCCACGTTTGGAGATGATCTATATTTGACTGCTCCCTTAGGTCACCCACAAGACAGGTGCCAATGGTCATGTTTCCAGTCCATCTCAGTAAGTGTATATCCATTATTTCAGCTGCTCCACAGATGCATTCCTCTTCTTCACAACTCTTTGCTTTCTCCCCTACAATCAGGCAATAACGGGGGCTGTATTTCTAGGAACACAGACGCATCTCTGTTACCCCCTCAGTGACTGTCAGGGGTAAGTGGACAGCAAAGTTTACAGCTAAGCGGTCTTTCATGGGCGCCTTTTGAAAGCCGGACCCAGTCAATAAGATGCTGCGTGGCAGATGACGGAGGGGCCGCCCGCCTGCTGCTTACGTAGTGCGCCACCCCTGCCCCCAGTGATCTGTGTCAAGCCAACACCCCTACCCTTCCGTCTTCCTACCAATAACAATCTGGTTTAATCTCATTGAGGGGAAATGTATTTAAAAGGCCATTTCTGTCCAACATCGTTGTGTGTTTACAATGGTTGATTTCAATGACAGATTGGATTCCTGCTGTGTCTTAACTTTGGGACTAGTTGATGTTAGCAGATTTTCAGCAGTTGGTCACTCTTCTGATCATAGAAGTTGAGAGAGGAGAAAAAAAATCAAAGGGGATCATGGGAACTAGTAGTTGACCTAACATTTGTTACTATGGTGAGTAGGGTCTCACATGTGCCGCTTTCTCTAAACTTTCTCACTAACTTTCACGGAGTTCCTGTATTATGAGGTGCAAAATTGGCACGTGCCTCGGACATTGTCAACCCCTTCTTTGCCCTCCCCAACCCTGTTGCACAGAAACTGTAAAGTGAATGTCTTGCCAGTGTTCCCTAACCCCACCCCACCTGCTCCAGGTAGCCCTACGCCCAAGAGTGTGTGCAGTCCCTCTGCCCGTCTCCAGTTCTCCCACTAGGCTTTCTTGCACTTCCCCTTCTTTTCCCGTTGCTGGAACTTCCGCAGCCGCCGAGCCCACGTGTCCCTCCACTGTATCACAAGGCTGCTCTTGTCTGCCACGATGCCATTCTGGTCTGGAGAATCCTCATCGTGGCCCAGCAGCAAGTATTTCTTCATGGGTTTGATTTTGGGGCACTTGCAGGCTATGTCTTTCGAGCGAATCCAGAGGATCTGGTCACCACGCCGTATCCGGTTTGTTCCTTGCTTGTACACAGAGATGATATTGACAGTGAACTTCCACCATTCTCCAGCCTTGTCTGCTTTCAGGATGTGGATCTGGACAGCTGGGAACAGAAAATCAAGGGCAGAAGCAGTCATTGGGAAGCACTTTTCCTCAAGATGGCAAAGCACAAGTTGCAATCAGCCCTTCCGCTGCCATTGCAGCAGCTTGCCAACTGAAATATGCCTATAGCACCCAGCACCGTTGTAATGGCTCCAGATCTCAGCTACTGAAATCATGGTAAAGATCTACAGAGAGACCCATTATTTTGAAAAATCAAAAGATTCTGTTTGCTGACCCAGTAATAGCTGTTCGGAGGTAACTTCCCAGATTCATTGAAGAAAGAAGATAACTCTCCTTAAATGAACAAGGAAAGTGTAATCTACTGTGTAGTAGATTCCACTCTGGAAACTCAGACTCAGTAATATTTCTATATATGGCACCATCATTTGGTCCTCAAAAGGGCCCCTCAGACAATTTACGCCTAGCAATATACATTTTAATAAAATGAAGACCAAGACCAATGATAAAGAATCACTGAAAGAGCAGCATTAAGAAGAGAAATGGTGAAGTATTACTATTCTCGACAAAGTAAAACGGTCTCAGCTGTTTGCCTAGTAAGAGGTCATTGTCAAAACAGAAGGCATTGCATGGTTTCCTGCAAGGGCTAATATTGTTCAAAAGGTTAAAAGGATGTTGCTTGATGGACTGTATTTCATCTGCAGAGAGGAGGGGATGCCAATGCTTTGGAGCCCCTTCTCCACCTCGGATGCCCTGTGAAATGTGCGGGGAGCAATCAGCTTGTGCTGCACCTGCCTGGTACAGGCTGTCGGTCTGGTTCTCGCGTGGAAAGACTGCCTTTAATTCATTGTGTTTGAGAGGAGGCCACTAATTCATTTTTAGAGGGGGAAGGGCTTTGCTTTCAGGTGCTGGTATACAATTCAGATTGTACCTAATCTAAATCCTGCAGTTTTGAAGTTTAAAAAAAAAAAAGGACAATAGCTTTGTATAATTCAAAGAGCTGTCTTAGAGAGGGAGAGACTGTGATAAGATACTACCAGTTTGCACCCAATGCTCCAGTTTTTCTATGGTCCAACCTCATTCCCCGAGCTGTCTGCTGTGATTCCTTCTGCACCTACCTCCTGGTTGCTCCAGGCAAATGGCACTGAGAAGTAATTTCTCCTACATTTTCCTTGGTGAGATAAGGAGCTGTCCAACTTTTTCCTTCTCCTTGGTGGGCATCGTGACCTTTGTGGCCCCACATTCCAAGTCTAACTATGATGGTAACGGTTTCCATGTTTCCCTTACCTAGGGATTTGAGGCTCAATGTGAACTTTAAAAAAATAAATAAAATGTGCAGGAAATCCAGGTCTTGTTTGGCTGAAGTCATGAAAGGTGACCATGGTAACAAAAGGCACCCCCTTCATTTTGAGCGAAGGGATGGCGGGGGTGAGGAGGAGGCAGAAAGTTGTCCAGAAATTTGCCACACTGTGTGGCTTCTTGGTGGGCTGCGCATGCAAAAACCATCCAGCCATAATGTGTTCTCACAGAGCAAAGGACCCTTCTGCTAACCAAATACAGCCCCTAAGAATGTAAGGTCTGTGCCCATTACTTGTCCTACCCTATTCATTCCCTTATTTTCAAGCAACAGGCAATATTCTAAGAAGTCTAAAAATATTCATATTAAAATACAAGTGTTGTACAAGAGGGACTTCACAAAATATTAGAGAAATGGATTTGTCAAGAGAGCTTTAGCTTCCAAGCAGACTACAAATGTAATAAATATATACAATTAAATAAACTTCAGAATGTAGATGCCATTAAACTAGCTACATACAATCAGATCTACAAGATCTTCACAGTAAGAAAAAAAGCAGACCAATGCAGAATTCCCCAATTCAGCATGAATTATGCTTTGGAGAAACCCTTCACAAAGACGGTTTGTGTTGTTTCATATTTGCTATTGTAATCAGTGGTGGCAGTAGCAGCAGCAGATTTTCACTGAGAAAAGCTACTGGCATCTCATATCCTAAAGAGCTATTCCTGGGTACCATTTGTAGAAGCTCAACTGCTGTGTGAACCCCAAAACGACTCACCTGGGAAAGCTCAACAGAGCTCTACTGTGGGGAAGGGAACCAAAGGCTGATGTCGAAAAAGGATGGAACTGGGCCGCAAGTCTTCCTGCAGGTTTGGAAGCCCCATTACTCAATGTTAGATATGTCATGGAGCGTTGAAGGTTCTTTAGTGTGAAAGAAACAGATCTTGAGAAAGTTCAGAGGCAAACAGTCATTGTTATCTCTTCCTAATGATTTGGTGTCACATTCAGGTGGAACTGCCTTTTGGGTTGTTGTTTAGTAGGCATGGTACTCGCTGGGTGCTGAATTTGCTCCTCTAAATCATTCATGTTTGACATTCTTCTTGTGTAGCACAACTAATGTTTTCTTTATGAGTGAAATTGCCTGACTGAAGTTGAATACAATCCAGGGCATTCCATTTCTCCAGGCCAGTGTCCTGTTGCCGTAAAAGTGACTACAATTTTAAATCAATAAAAGCATTGATTTAAAACAAAGCTATTTATTTTCTCTCCAGGACAAGTGGCTTACCTACACTGGCAATTTCAGCCCTGACTGTTATATCAATTTTGCAAACACTGAGAACTGTCTGAGAATGTTTGTGAAGCTTTAGGCCCTGCATCACAATCAGAGAGTCGGAATGTGGGCCCTCGAGTACCATGCCGCGCTCAGTGCAGGGGTCCAGCTTGCAGCGCCCCGTCTGAGGGCAGTCCAGAAGGGGAGAGGACCCCGCTGCTCCTCTTCGTTTGCTCGGTGATCAGGTGCCTCAGGCGGTAGCAGGGGTGGCCAAATCAAGGCTTGTGAGCCACATGTGGCTCACAGAGGTGCGCTAACTTGAGAGTATGAGCGTGAGAGACAGAGCGTGCGTGCAGGTGCACATCTTGTTCGGCACAACCTGGGCCGAGGGGGTTATTTCTCCCCTTGTCACTCCCCTCCACATGAGGAGCCCTGGCCAGGCAGAGCTGGGCAGCCATTTTGGACAGGACATAGTTACGTTTTGGTCTTGGGAACTCAAGCTACACAGGGAGTGAGGAGGGTGCGTTGGGGCCTGGTCTGATGAGCATGGCCTTGTGTGGAGGAAAGGGGCGATGAGCTGGACTTGTGGTAGTGATGAGCAGCTGCTCGTGTTTGTGGGAAAACTGAGGTATGAAGCGAGCAAGCTTGGGGTAGTGTTTTGGAGAGCGGCTGCAAAATGTTTGTGGAAGAGAGTCTGGGCTTGATGAAGCTATAGTTGGTAGGGATTTGGGAGAAGCTGGCAATAGCAAAGAGGACAGATGGGGGACCTACTTTGAGCTGTTTGCACAGCAAATGGGGTCTGAAGGCCAGAGCAGAGGTACTAGGAGACCTGGAGATGGGAGGTATATAGGAGAGAATCAGCTAAGCTGCAGTTGGATAGAGGAGGGAGACTAGGGTGGGCCTCAGAGGACAATGCTGAACATGAGGTATGCGGTCAAGGCAGGCTGGTGTGTATTTTTGTAGGATCAATGGGAAAGGTTAAGGCATCAGGGCTGAAGTCCAGATATAGGGAAGAAACTATTGCAACCTAAGTGGAAGGTTAATTGTGGGACTGAATTAAGCAGGTCCGGATGTCAGGAAGTGTGGTGGTTGGAAAGGTGCGTCTTTGCGGTGTTGAGTAGGGCACCGTTGTTTATGTGGTGTATGAAGATGGAGACTCACAAGCCCTCTACTAGCAATCGCTAGCCTGATTGTTGTAGCAATGTCTGTCTGGTCATAATGAATAAAACATTTGTTCATGCATTGCAGCTCTCAAACATCTGACATTAACTGTATCTGCCCCTCCCATTGAGCAAGTCTGGCCATCTCTAGGCTGCAGCCCAACTAATGCTTAATTAGGTTTTGATGGCATTTTGAGACATGGGCCCTGCACCAGCAAGCTGCATTGCACAAAACGTGCGGGCCAGTCTGGCCAACCCGGAGGGCAGCGGCTCCTTTTGCATCACAGGGGAGGGGAGGGGGCTCCGAAGTGCCGAGCGCCCCTCTGCTGGGCTGATTCCTCCTCTGCCCCGCTACGCGTGTGCCTGGGGTGCAACGCAGGCAGTTCTACAGCTGCTGGCACACTGCCTGCCCGCCCGACTGACAGGAGATCGCGCCAGCATTCCCCCAAGGGAAAGCGCTGACAAGGCAGCTGGTTAACAAGGTTGGGAACCTCGCGCAGCAGGGAAGGAGGGGAAATTCCGCCCGAGGCAGCATCTCCACTCCATTCATGGCTGGGCTGGTGCTGTGCGCCACAAAGCCCCCCTCCCAGTCGAAGGCTTGTGAGCAAAGTGGATTAGCTCGAGCCCTGGCACCAGGGGAAGCACGGTGGGCCAAGCGACTGGGGCTGCTAACTGGGGGCAAGCGGATGAAGCTAGCAGCAGGTGCCCCGTCGGCGGCTCTCAAGCCTGCTGCAGTCTAGCAATGGGCACCCCCTGAGGGGGAGAACAAAGTGAATGAGTCACAGCTTTCACACTGAACTTGTTGCCCGATGACACCGGTTTCCGACACAGTGTGGCGTGTGTCCAGCTGCTGGCAAAAAATACCTTCGACGTGCACCACTCGGCGGCTGGGAGTGGAGGAGGGCAGGGGTGCCCGGGCTTCTCGGCTCTTGGCTGCTCGGCTCAAGAAGCCGGCAGCTCTCCTCTCGCACTGGCAGGGAGAGAAGGCCAAGCCAGCAGGCATCCTCTTTCTGGGGAATGAGTGAACGCACCAGTGCAGAAGGCCTGGCTGATCTGCTCTGGCCAAGGCCCACCGCCTCCTGGGAAGCGAGCTGAGGAAAGGCAGTGCTCAGGTGCGCCAGGGCTGGCCGTGATGCTTGGCGCAAGGGCTTTATCACCGAAGGAACAGGCATGCAAAAGCCCTCCCATCAGTTGCCCTCCCAGAGGCATCAGGGAGCCCTTTCTTCAGCCAGCCTGCATTCTCCTTTGGAGGCTTCTAAGTGAGATTTTGAGGATAAAAGGTGCTCTTTGAGAAGGGAAGCAAGCTCAGGGCCAAG